CATCATAAATGTTGGAAAGGCTCTGCTTAAAGAAAGAGTTCTGGTGTACTTTACTCATAACCAGAACCGTCTGGGAGCAATCTCGCATTCACACGATGGACTGCTCTTCCTCTCTGGCCCTCGCTCTCTCTACAAATCCCATCAGCTCAGGAACAGCTGCCGGAGACTCTGGCCCAATGCCAGGGGTGAAGAAGCTACAGCCCCCTCCCACGCGAATGTCCTCCTGGGCCCCCGGCTTGCTCATCACCCCATGTAGCTGGACAAAGAGCACGACGAACACTGATCTTACATGAGAGAGTGAAGTCACCAGCAGGCACAGGAGTGGGGACCTGGTGCCACAAAGCCAGCTGCGAGAAACTGTTGTTTCAACTCGGTAACATAGATGCTTGCCAGCAAATTATGGCCTGAGATGGCTCGGAGGGCTGCGGATCAGAACAGAAAGCTCACAATGCCAGCTAGTGTGCATCACGCAATAGCAGCTCGACACAAAGGGCTGGGGAGGAGGGGCAGCGGCGAGCACTGAGTGCAAGGCCGAGTTTCTGGCACCAGGACCAATGGCACCAGGCACAGAAGGTGAGAGCTGGGCCGCATCAGGGGCCAACTCAGCTCTGGGGGTGTTGTGAATCAAACCACTGGGCAAACTATCTGAGGAGAGGGGGAAAGGGAGGTGGGGGAGCCAGGGAAGAGGCTGATTTCATTATGAAAGTCCTGATGACAATAACCTTTTGTCCTCTACGCAATCTGGGCCTGCCAAGCTGCTCCACAGTCTCTGAGAAAGCACGAGGGTGGGAGAGAAAGGATCTTTGCCAGGAGGCAACAGACTCATCCTTAATTATGAGACAAGGCTTCCCAGAGCTGACATCCTCTCCCACACTTCCTCCCCACTGCAGACATACCACAGAATGCTGGTATGATGCTCCTCTAATGAAAGCAGGCAATTTTTCTAAGCATAGGAGATCTTGTCCTTTGGGGACCTTCCCTGCCATCAGCACCCCAAAATCACACACAGGCTCTTAGCAATTTGGCCAACGGTCTACCGGGTCAGAGTGAGAACTAGAAAAGTTACTGCCTCAGCAGCTCCTGAAATGCTTCGTCACATCCTCTTAAACCCTAAAGGACTGTCAAAGAGACGCTAATCCTAAGGGACAGAGGTCCTCTGCTTAAATTTATGTCACAGCTCAAAACTGAATAATGATGTCTAATCGCCCTGAAGGAACGTTGACTGGTGCATTGTATCAGAAATCTGGGTTCTAGTCCTTATTCTGACACTTTTGCATTGGCGGGAGCTGAGCAAACCACCTAATCCCTCTGAGCCTCAATTTGCTCAAATGCAAAATGGGAACGAGGAGGAGGAGTCATTTGGCATTTAGCAGTTCAGCAAAGTAGTAAACAGTGTGCACCCTGAAGTGATGCTGTCCAGGTTCACATCCCAGAGCCTCCCCTTACTAGTTGTGTGACCTTAAGCAACTTGGCCTCTGCACCTCACTTTCCTCATCTGCAAAAGGTATCTGGCTCACAGGATTGTTAAATATGAAGAATCACGTAAAGCTCTCACCACAGCAGCTGGCCCTTAGCTTTGCCAGTAACTGTCAGCTAGCCCCATTACTATCATCAGTGGGGAATAAAAGGGGAGATAAACATTTCCACAACTAGCAATTTACTACGAGGATTAAACAAGCAGCTTTGCAACAGGGGAACCCTTTACTTGTTAGAAAGATTTCAGAGAAACAAGTTAATGGGCCAAGGTGAATTCCGAACCAAGAAACAGAAAGAGACTAGGCAAGGGCTTATTTGTCTCCTTGAGCGTGACACATTCCAAACTGTTCACCTTAAACCAATTCTAACAACTTGGTAGTACAGCCGACCAGTCAAAATCTGTGTGTAAATTTTGACTCCCCAAAAACTGAACTACAGTCATCCTGCCGTGTCTGCAGGGGATGAGTTCCAGGAGCCTCACGGATACCAAAATGTGTGAATGCTCAAGGCCCTTACATAAAATGCTGCAGAACAATGCTGTCGGCCCTCTCTATCCGCCAACTCCCAACCACAGATTGAAAATCCTGGTTTTGACAGTTGGTTGAATCCGCAAATGCAAAACAGAGGGATAAGGAGGGGCTGACTGTATATTTATTGAAAAAAATCCACGTATAAGTGGACACGCGCAGTTCCAACCGGTATTATTCAGGGGTCAACTCTAATTTAAGGCTTTTGTGGGAAGAGAGGCTGCTGATCCCTTTCCAAGGAATTGCCAGCCTTTCTCTTGCTATAGACAACTCAAAAAGGCAGCAATTTGTGGTCCCGTGTCTTTAAATCCTTAATAACTGCTAGATCTGAGGTTTTCTGTTAGAGTTTAAAAACATTTTAAAAAGGAATTCATTAAAGTGGGGGTGGGAGTAACATAGGCGGTGGTCTATTTTGGTTTTAAACATCTCAGCTTCTTCCAGCAAAGGTGTAAAGAGCTCTCCTTTTCCTGAAGTCTCATTTTCAAATCAAAAGTAAGAACAGGTAGGAAAGACACCAAGGGGTACATAAATCTCCGCTCATAGCCAAAGCTGAAACGGATCTGCAAATCACGTCTGATGGAAGGCATTCTCAGTCTAGGCTGAGCCTCAGTTATTCAGTGTGGAGTTCCATACACTAAACACAGCCCGCTTACGGACCGTTTACTGACTTAGGGCCATGCCAGGGCTGCATGTGTGTGTAAGAGAGAGAGCAAAAGACAGTACCTGTGTGCATACAAAGTTGGATGTAATCTAGTCCCTAGACTTATCTACATTTTAAAAATTATAAAACGGAGGTAATCTTTAGCCATTTGTTTACCAAATTTGTTTTGGCTGCTTAGATCTTGTTTGCCTTTCTGGCACAGAGCGAACATAAAAACAGTCTTATGTCAAGTTCAACATGTCTCACTCGTATGCAAGTTTCTCGTTCCCACCCTTCCCATCGACCACCCACATCGTCGACCTGTCCCCCTCAGCTTCTGTCAATTACGCCCCCTTTCTTCCTTTCACCCAGTAAGTAGTTGTGGCCTGTCTACTATGTGTCAGGCACAGGATGAGGCATGGGGCTCCCTCTCAGGGGTTTATCGACTAGTTGAAGAGACATATTTAAACAGATAATTGGAGCAATTAATGACTTAACCCCTTATGTTTATCCCTTGGCCTATATCACTTAGTTTCTTTCCTTCTCTGTTTTCTACTTCCATTCCTCTGTTTGGCCCTAGAGACCTCACTTACACATTTCTATGATGTTTTTTTCTGGTTTCTTGAATGCGCTCTCTCTCTTAATCAGGTTCCTTCGAACTCCTCTTAGAACCACCTTACTAGAACACTGCTTTCACCACTCATTCTCTTTCTCAGAAACATACACGAGTAACCTACAGTCCCCCCACGGTAAATCTAAATTTCCCTTACACTCGATTACGTTCTCTTAATACCAGCTTGGTCTGATTTCCCTGACGCTCCTCTTCATTTTGTCATTTTTCTCGCTGTCTCTTAAATCGACTCTGTTCATTTGCGTCGATAATCACGTGAGATGCCTTTCCTTTCATCGTTCAAAACTCTGCAAAATTCAGACCAAACCCCCCAATGCTTTTCTGAACTAGAGAAGCCCTCGCTTTACACTTTTCTGTAACAAGTGCTGATTTGGCTAAGTGAATAAATATGAGTTTACAAAGAACACCCAGGCATTAGGGTAATGACTCTGGGGCACCAAAACTCCAGAACCCTTTCTGGTAAATCCATTTATATTTCAGAGCAGGAGTAAATATTTTAGGCTCTGTGGGTCTTATAGTCTCTACTCAACTGCCCTGTTGTAATGTGAAGGTAGCCAAAGATCGAATGTACACAAATGAATGTGGTTGCATTAAAAAAAAAAAAAAAATCACAGAAAGGAGATGTGGGTGGAATTTGGTTTTTAGGCCATAGTTTGCTGACCCTGCTCTAGAAGAAGAGTGGATGCCGGTGAAGATTTTCTCTTTTGAATGGCAAAGTACAACTGGAAGTGCCTTAGATCATCCCCTTATTTTCCCCAGGTAGCTTAACTGTCCCTTTAAGACAATATGTACCCTCGGAGATTTCCAGCCTAGAAGACATCACCATGGGAATTCAGGCCGTGACCATCTGTTATCGCTATTTTGGTCAATGAAGAAGAGATAATGGAATCTACTTCTTTGCCCGTCTTGGAGATATGGCGAGGAAGGAGTCCACTGTCCCATTATCCTGCTATATCCTCCACACTGGCAAGAGGCTCAACGGTCAGGATCCAGGGCCTAAGGGCAAATCTTCACCCACATGTCTACATTCCAGGCATGATCTCTCATTTAATCCTTATAACCCTATTATGTACAAGTACTTTACCATCATATCTATTTTTCACATAGAAGAAAAAGATGACGTCTTAGTTAATGTCAGCCACCAATACACTACAGAAATAGTCTTGGTGCTTTGTGTGTTTTGGAGCTAAACCACCCCTGCAGAGATTGTTATTTCAATTTGACTGTAATAAAATAATGAGGATAGCTCATTACCTAAAGTCTTTACAACGACTCTTCAAAGAGTATGTGTTTTTTCACTTCATCTGTGGAAAATTGGGCTCATAGCGGTGAAGTGATTTATGCAACTTTGCCTATCTAGAAAGGTCAAAGTTAGGGTTCAAATCCAAGCCAGTCCAGGCAAATAAACCTCTGGCCCGTTCCTTAAAAACCAAGTTTTAGGTGTTTTAAAAGCCCCTGAATGCTTCTTCTGTGTGAACTGAGGAATTACATCAGCTTTGTGGGGCCTAGCGACCCCAAGGAGGACCTCAGAGAAGCAGAGCACTGTGACTCGAGAACTGTGTCCACGTGCAGACAGCAGAGGCGGCATTGCCCCTTTCCCTTCACCACACCCCCGGGTCTCTGGCTGCACCTCCTGACCCAAACTGTGCAAGTGACTTGTTCTGGCGATGACGCTTCCTTCACACACACTGTGGCAGAGCCGAGGCGGAGGGAGGCGTGTTCTTACCAGCCTGTCATATTAAAGTCCCTGTAGAGCATCTTCTTTCCAAGTTCCTTCCTCTGCACTCTCCTTGGAAACTCCAAATGTGTGAACTCATTTCCCAGCAAGTGAGGCTGCATGAATGCCTAATAGCAAAAAGAAAAAAAAAAAAAAAACCACACGTAGATTTAGAAGAAAAAAATAAGACTCGAGGATGTTTTGCAAATTGAGACAGGCCATATTTTAAAAACAAGAAAATCCTTCTCATATTTTAAGAGAAATAGATTTAGGAACCTCAATACAAACAGAATATCAGCAAATAAAACTCACCAACTTAACTTATAAAGGGATATCCCTTTTTTTTTTTGACATGACAGATTAATTGTAATCAAAGACATGTATCCCCCAAGTCATCAGGAAAAGAGACTGAGTTTCTCCCAAGGTTCACTTTTTAAGTCACATCTAAGATGGTTTCGCTTTCCTGAATGGCATGTTGTGGAGGCGAGACAGCTCATCCTGACTCTCAGCCTTGGCTTTCTCCGCTCTCCTCTTGCTCACACTCCTAGTCACCATGGCCTTGCCTTGGAAACCTGCATGCTCATCTTCACCTCAACACAATGGCCTCAGAGAGAGGACTGGGGCTGGAAACACCAGACAGGAACTTTCTGTTGGATGCCCTCCATTTTGCTCTGCAGTAATTTGATCATGTAATTGGAAGACTATTCCAGAGCAGATGGCTTCTTCCCCTCCCCCAAATCCCTGTTCACACTACAAAAGTCTCGAGCAAACAGCCACTTAGGGAATTGCTTTGAAACAACAGTCTCATTGTCATGTTCAAAACTCAGATCCAGCTATCTGTCCAAGAGAGGAAGTGCTCAAGAGCTAGCTTCCCTGCACAGAGGCCACATACCATAAGCAAACCTGCACTACTATGGAGCAACCCCGTACCAAGCCATATGTGTGTTATCAGACCGTGGTGGAATGGATCTTCTCTCTCTCTCTTTCTTTTTGGCATGGAAAAGAGTGGGCAGAGCAAATCATGGCCTGGCACTGCAGGAAAGCAAGGGATCCCTGCCATAGGACAGATGGCCATGTCCTCAGTCTACTGGAAAAAGGCATCTCCCACAGCCTCTTTCCCAGGACCTGACATCGGCAGATCTCCCGCCGATTCTCACAGTGGTTCAGGGGTATTAGTTAGAAATTAGTCATCAGAAGTTAAGTGTGTCGGGAATGAAAGGAGGCAAACTGAACTGTCCCCAGGCTGGTCAGATCTGGCCAGATAACAGAACTCTGAGCTAGAGATTCTGAGCAGGCGAACTGTTCTTACTGTCTGCAGCAGCCTCAGAAGTTTCCAGGGCTGATGGGAATTCTTGATCATCTTTGAGGGACTCTGAAACCTCTGCTGGGTGTGACACTTGGCTGCTGATGGGTATTGAGGACGCTAAACACTGGGTTTTACAGAGAGGTTCCCTGGGAAGGAAGGGAACTAATAACAGGGCAGGTCAGTGGTGTGGGCTTTAGGTGAGACAGACTTGGGTTTGAACCCAAGGTCTGCATTTATAAACTGTGTGATTTTAGTGGGTTATTTAACTTCTTGGGCTTCGGTTTCTTTATCTGTGCATTGAGATTAATTATATATTTGTCTTACACTATTTTAATAATGAAATGATATCTATAATGCACTTATCATGGTTGTCTCTGTTGATAAAATAATTATGTTCATCAAATGATTACTAAGTCTTTTACATCCTGAGTACTGTGCTAAGTGCTTTGTGAGTTCTCATTTCACCCTCGTAACAACATTATGGCAGCACTGGCTACATAATGTGTGGGGCCCAGTGCAAAATGAAAATATGAAGCCTCGTTCAAAATGAAGATTTTTAAGACAGTGACAGCAGAGCATTAAGTGTAGGGGCCCTGTGTGACTGCACAGTCACACAGCCATGAAGCCATCTGTGCTTACAGGGTAGATGCCATTATTTTTCCTTTATTTTGGTCCACCCATTAAAACTAAAACAGAGGCATTAAGTCGATGAACAGCAGCATCTATTATGTACTGTTTATTGTCTCTCAGAACTTTGGGGCTGCATCAGCATGGAGTTTTTCTCATCCCCTCAACTCCCCAGCTGGACTAATACTGATTTAGATGTTACTGTATCAGACATTTGATATACCTTATGTTATTACCCCAACAATACTACAAAGCATGTGTCGCAGACTTAATTTACAAACGAGGAAACTAAGGCCTAGAGAGATTACGGCACCTAGCCCAGGGTTATCAGCCAGGCCTAGTTGGTTGTAGAGCCTGAGCTTAATACCATGCCCATACTCTCATCCTAACCCTTATGTTGGACCCTTAACCTACCCATACATACACAAAAAACCTACCCATTCACATACACACACAAACAAAAATAAATAACGGGGCAACAAAAGGCCTATAATCTTGTCGCCCCTATAGCGTACAAAGTCTAAATTACAAATAGGTATCCGTGAAGACCCAGCTGAACAACAGTACAGATGTGCATACAGCCTGGCCACAAGATGTTCCTGATGTTATTTATAACAAGTAACTGGAAGAAATCATTTAATTATACGATTAAATAAATGAGCATAAATTCCATACAAAAGAATTTGATGCCGCCATTTACAATGATGCTAAAGAGAGTATGTACTGGCATAGAAAGAGCTGATATATTTGCAAAAAAACAGGTTATCAAAAATATGTGTATGTGTGTGAGCTTATGTGAACTGTGTCATGTGTATACAGATCTCTATATTAGACATATATGTATACAGTTGGCCCTCCGTATCTGTGAGTTTTACATTCACAGATACGGAGGGCCAATTGTATGCATTGTCTTACATCATTTTATATAAAGAATTTGAACATCCTCGGATTGGGTTCTGGAACCAATCCTCCATGGATACCAAGTGATGACTATATATAAACGAGCACATATGTGTGTAAATATAAATACGCGACACACTTATATTATTAACACACAGGCTAGTCTCCAAAGGCCATTCCTAAGTAAATTTCTTCGCCAAGCCGAGTGACTAAGAGGGGTGAATATGCAGAGGTCCAGGTGCTTGCTTCCTAACAGGAGCATGAGTGGGCCCTCTGACAGTGCTTTATTCAGGTCCCCTCCTCATGCCCTTTTGTCGGTATACATTTGCCTGGGCAGTTATATCGGTAGACATGCCGAGGCAGATGCCTGCGGGGCAGCTGGAAGCTCCTCAGCAGCTTTGCTACCTGCAGGGGCGGTCTCACCTCTCGCTCTGAGGATGAGCAGGCTTAAATACTGTGACATCTGTAGCCCCATCACATGCAGAGCCTTTCAGGGTCTCAACAAGCTGCTTGCTTTTCCCATAACAATAGGCTACTATATTTCATCGATTCTAAGATTTCCTTTATTACTTGCACCATTATTTTATTATCTCTAAGACAGGGAGAAATAAAAGCTGTGAATTAAATATATACAATGCTTTCTTACCACTTCGAATTTTTATTTTACTTTTTGAAAGGGCTCCTTTAGACTTACATGAATTTTTATTATCTGTTGTGTATATTTAAAAAGGAATGTATAAATGAAGTCAATTGGCTAAAGTTTCCTAAAACTTTTTTACATTTAGAATCCAGCAGCTCTCAATAGTTTTCAACTCTGAATCATCCATGTACATGATTTTCCACATACTAGTGGCCTGCGTTCCATGGGAGCATTCGTTAATGCAGAATTTCTTAAATAATCCACAAAAGAACCACAAGCCTCAAAGCCAGGAGTGCAAAGTTCTTAAATCGGCTTTGCAACTATCTAGAGCCAGCTTACTCCTGACTCCCACTTCAGGAATGTGGCTGAACAAGTTTGATTCACATCTCTCCAAGTACCTCCACACGGCTAGTTGGATTTAAAGAGGCTTAAAGATTGCTTCATTTTTGTCTGCAGGATTTTATTTCAAGAGGCTGGACATCCATCCCGCAAGTTTGGTGCTGCTCTTTTGATGCCTGCACATGCCCAGGAGATGACATCCGTGTCATGCCTGCCACCTGGCAGACAGCAACAATCAGTTGTAAAATATCCCAACTTCAGATATGTCAGAAGATGAAAAACAGTATCTTAGCTCTGAGGAAATATTGTAATATTCATCCCCCATTGGTACTGATGTCACCCCCTCAGATTTTTCTATTTTTATAGTTATTTTTCTTTTTCTTTCGCTAATTGCTACAACACATTCCACATATTGCATGACACATTTTTTTTGGTCACAATCATGCCCACCAAAGAATCTATGTTTATTCCATGTGTGCCTATGACATATTTTTACTGTTGTTTTTTTTTTAAACCATCATCCACGTCCTAATGACAGGCCTCCTTCTTACCAACACTTTCCATACTCATCATGACTGTTACATTTGTCAGACCTGATGGAATTACTGCTGTTAAAGAAAAAAACAACTCAAGAACTAAGTACAAGAAGAGCAAATGGGTGGTTGATTAATGAAAATGAGATGCAAAAATATAACGGGACACATATCTGCTGGTTTTCAGAGGGAAGTGCACTTCTGCTCATTAGTGTATCTTTTTTTGTGCACTACTTACTAAAGTTTGTATATATGGTCTTAGCTCGGGACGTTATATCTAAATATCACAGATTGGAGGGTTTAAATAACAAAAATTTATTTCTCACAGTTCTGGGGCCTGGGAAGTCCAAGATCAAGGTGCCAGCAGACTGGCTGCCTGGTAAGGGCCATCTTTCTGGCTTGCAGATGGCCACCTTCTCACTGCAACCTCACATGGCCATCCTTTCTGATCTCATGCGGAGATACATCAAGCTCTCCGTGTCTCTTCTCATCAGGACACTAATCCAAACAGATCAGAATCCTACTCTCATGACCTCATTTAACTTTACTTCTCTAAAGGCCCTATCTCCAAATTCAGCACATTGGGGGTTAGGACTTTAACATATAAATAGGGCTTATATATGTGCATACACTCAAAATCATCAAAATATTATTAAATGTAACGAGTTTTCTTTTTAATTTACCTATACTCACGAATATTTCTAGCACTGAACATGGATTACTTTTGTTTAAAAAGAAACACTAAAAATTAATTCTCAAGAACACAGTTTTTAAACTGGATTT